CAAACTATGCTAACAAACACGAGGTAAAGAAAAGGTTTTATTATTTAAGCATGGTTCCTGTTGTTATCTGTAGTACCTAAGAGCAGTGAGCCACCCAGGTGACTGCTACCTACCACTGCACTAACAAACTATGCTAACAAACACGAGGTAAAGAAAAGGTTTTATTATTTAAGCATGGTTCCTGTTGTTATCTGTAGTACCTAAGAGCAGTGAGCCACCCAGGTGACTGCTACCTACCACTGCACTAACAAACTATGCTAACAAACACGAGGTAAAGAAAAGGTTTTATTATTTAAGCATGGTTCCTGTTGTTATCTGTAGTACCTAAGAGCAGTGAGCCACCCAGGTGACTGCTACCTACCACTGCAGCAAGCTACCTGTCAGGCTTGTCAACTGACATAGATGAATCTGTGACTGCAGCGGTTTCTGCAGTAATACATTATTAGTAGATTTATTATAAAATAAGTCACTAAATATGATGAACATTTCTTTTCTTCGTGACATATGTACAGTTTACCAGCATATTTAGTAATAAGCATCACAACTATTCATTGTTCCCCATTAATCATGTAGTTCTTTGTACTAGGCGTTGCATCATAAAGATTAATAATAACAATGCTTCAGATTGTCTATAATCATACTGTGTGAAAGTATTCAGCTCTCCTTTTCAACATACACCATATACATGGTAGTTGAATGCCCTTGACTCTCTTGATCTCTTTAGATATTTTTCATTTACTCTCATTCTCACCCTGTCAGAAGTCTTATGCCTAGGTCTTTATGTAAGTCTGTGGTATTTAGGTGTTGGAAGACTAAGAAGTGCTGTGGTGATGAAAAAAATGTCATTCTTAGATGATAACCATAATAAACTAGTTTGACGAAAACGTTTCTGCCTGGATGAATTCACCAATGATTGATTTCTTTACGGCTTGTTACCTTCGTCAGTATTTGAATCACCAAGGAAATGCAGAAAGAATGGCAGATTTCGAAATCGGTCTCTGTTGAAGTGATTAGAAAAATACGGCATTTGCTCAATCGTCAGTTGTATGGTCTCTTTTCCACCGATGAATGGGAGATTTCGGATGCTGGGAGAGGGACTCCTGCTGGCTTGCTTTGTTTTGAGCACTGTTTGTCTCCTCTCTAATGATGTCGAGAATGTCTTCTGTATAAAGGATGTTGAAATATTCCATCGGGACACGGCAATCTTCGGGTATGTTCTGTGATTTATTGATTATTTAACATTATCTGACGCATCAACAGCTGAGGTCATTAGCGTCGAATACCTTGTGGTCGTGAAGGTGCTGTAAAAGGGTCGCATCATGACCCTGGATCACTGTGATAAGGTACTACACGTTATTGTCTATGATGTCAGCCTCACCGTCGCTATCGCTGCCTCACTGCCATAGTAGCTTGCTGTACCATAGTATACCACCTTCCCACCCAGTATACCTCCTTCCCACCCACTACAATCCAGCCCCATCCACTATGCTGCATTACTCAGCACACCTTTGCCCAACCCATTACACCACTGTCTTACTACACCACCTCACCTACTACACTATGTGTCTACTACAACTGGCCATCATACGTACCTATCTCGACTCGACGAGATTTTGGCGGGTCAAGTTTAAGGATATATTCCCAGCTCACATTTTGTACTGTGTTTAAAGAGATGATTTGATACCACTGTGCTTTGTTAGCCACACTAACTGAAATTATGATGCATTCCTCTCAAGTGCATAAAAGAAGGTAAAAAAGATAGCTGACACGTCACCTAAGGTCTTGAAACGTTGTATTGGCATGGAGCTATATTCTGTGATAAGATATTACTTGATTCCCTATAATAATATCTCACGCTGCAATGTTCGATCATGAAGATGAGCAGCCACTTAAACATTGTTGCTTGTCGTCTGTCAACTCAATTTACAGTCAATTTAAAATTGATTCACGATAATGGTAATACATGAAAAACAAAGAAAATACTGGGCAATCAAAATTCCCCGGCATTAAATATGGAAAAGGCATGTTATTGCTAAATATAGGTTTTTGTCGACTAAGTAATCGGGAAATAAACCGTACTATATCCGGTTTCAAACCTGTACGAGAGCCCCGGAGCAGTTGTAACTTACAAGGTACTTTGCAATGTGTGACGTCATAACATAGCGGTTAATTTGTTTCGAGTATGACCTTCGAAGGCCTTACGACATTGTAACGGCTTCGTGGCGAGATACAACATTGTAAACTGTTTTGAGTATCCGGATGAATTATTCATGGATGAATTATTCATCCATACTCAAAAAATAATTACGATGTAGTAAGCACATTGTAAGGCCCCTGTTTACATTGTAAATTAATTCCATTGACTACCAAGAGAGGGCAGACCGGTAGTCGATTGACCAATCAGCAGTCAGCCTGCTAGACGTAACAACCAATGGAAAGCCATGGTTGTCTTATTGCCACGCCCCCAACGGTCACCAGCTCCATGGAACTGTCTCCCTGAGTAATATTATTGAAAGACTTATTTCCTATACTTTTAACAATATGCTTATGAGGTCTCACATATGACTTAGATACATTTTTTCGGAAGTATAAGGCAAAAAATCATAATTTCATGCTAAAGTAAATTGATTTAAACATAAATGCGGAAGAGTCACTGATTATCGGAATAATAATTCTTAAAAGGATTGTCTAGTTGGATATTTGGCATCAAAGGAGGTTATAGTAAAACAAATCTAAGAAATCTGTGATATCGCAATAAATGTTTATCCTCTCCATAGCGTGAAACTAATGATTCCCCATAATAATATCTTTCGCGCTGCAATGCTCGGTCATGAGGATGAGCAGCCACCAAAACATTGTTGTGTGTCGTCTGTCGTCTGTCAACTCAATTTACAGTCAATTTATATTTGATTCAAAATAACGATAATGCATAGAAAACAGAGAGTATGCTAGACAATTGAAATTCCCCGGTATTAAACATGGAAAAGGCATGTTACTGTCAAATAAAGGTTTTTGTCGACTAAGTAATCGGGAAATAAACCATAATATATCCAGTTTGAAACCCTTACAAGAGCTCCCGAGCAGTTGTAACTTACAAGGTACTTTACAATGTGTGACGTCATAACATGGCGGCTATTTTTGTTTTGAATATGGCCTCGGAGGAGTTACAACATTGTAACTGCTCCGATGCGAGATACAACATTGTAAACTGTTTTGAGTATCCCGCCCTAGGTGAGGATGTAAGGCAGGAAAGGTGTAACACACTCTTGGTTGTCCATTTTCCTTAAAACAGCAAGATTTGGCTCCATGCTCATAACCCTGGTAGTGGAAGCACTGCATAGGGTTGGGCACCTAGGGCTTTACCTTGAGGTAGTACCATGTCAATATAACTGATTCTGAAGAACTAACATTTCAAAAATTAGGAGAGCTGGTGTCGACAATTCCAAACCATCAACTTTCTTCTTAAATCATTTTACTTCCACTACATTTAGTCCCTCTAACAGTTTCTCTTCAAAATATCAGGCCGCAGGAAAATAATTTCCTTACACTGATTGTGAGAACATAAAACTTGAGCCCCAGGAATGTCGCATATCACACGCAGACAGTCACTCTTGTCTGGTGACGAAACCTATCAGGCTACCATCTTGCTGTGGGGTGATGCGAGGATCGTGTTGACACACTTCAACTATCTTTTGATGTACTGCAAAAATATCAAGATCCATGATTGATACACCATCAGCGGTCTCCATTACTTTTCTCCTTACCCGGTTTGGGAGCCCAGGAACCATTACAATTCCCTTTCTTACCCTTTGGAAACTGGAAAGGTTCCAGAGTGACAACATGTGACATTCCAGAGGGATTGGCCAAGGGATTGCATAGGTCGTCTGGAAGAGAACTAGTAGTAAGAAAATATACGCAGTAACTATTACAGTACTGATGGCAGTCGCGGGACTGCCATTGACTCGACAGTGCCTACTTGACCCTATCCATATTTCACCAGTCGATTGACTTGATCAGGCCTTGATCAAGCCACCCATTCAACCAGAATAGAGGACCAAAAAGGTGTGTTGCTAGCTGCAGGGTGCTGCTAGCAACAGGAAGCCATTTTGTCTCATCCCTCAATGATGACCCCTCCAGTATGATCTATGGAGTCTATATCCGTCTCATGTACACCATCATCTGGTCCCAGTCCAGGCACTTCGCCAGTTCCATTTCCGGGTCCATCTTCATAGTCTGTTCCAGTTCCGGGTCCATCCCCATAATCAGTTCCAGTACCGGGTCCATCTTCATAGTCTATTCCCGTTACGGGTCCATCAGTTGTAGATCCCATCGGTGGTCCCGTCGGGGGCTGTGTTGGAGGCCCCGTTGGTGCTTGTGTTGGAGGTCCCATCGGGGGCTGTGTTGGAGGTCCTGTCGGGGGTTGTGTTGGAGGTCCATTTCAAGATGACTTTATTTTCACATTTTCAAAATGTCTGAATCCCGAAAGGTCTTTTTGTTTAAGATAAAATCATGGGGAAAAAAATTCTGTTAGGCCCCCAAAAATTGGGAAAATTCCGGATAGGTATTCAGGAAAGGTCATAGAATTTTCTTTGGCAAATTTTAAGGCCTGCCCTAAAAAACAGTCTGACTTCAAAATTTGTCTATGAATCGGTCTACTGACTGGCCAAACTAAAGTCTCTGAATCGATCTAAAAATTGTCCTTTGCGATTGTGTGTATGAGTCACATGCTGGCACATTTAACATGAACATTTAACTACAATTCATATGTACATTTTAGAAGATCTTATCATAGTTCAGTGTAATCATGAAGTAAAACTATTCCAGTGAATCTCAATTATATAATAATTAATAATATATAACATTACACATCTAATATCATATGTTTACGTGGCAACCTCTACATTTGTTATGGTCGCGTCAGCTGAGAAGGCAAGCGCCACCATTTTTGTTTATCTATGAGAAAACTGCAGTAAACAAGGAGAAAACGTCCCAATTAACATATGACAGTAAGTAATAGTGGCAGGATAGTAATCCATATTAATTCTGATGTGATGTCTTCAGCAACCGTAAAATCACAGATTGCTGTATGTCTCTATAAGGACAACGACGGTCCTTGACGGATTGGGATACCTATAGAACTGTCTTCAACATCGGCCGAGTCATAAGCGAAAATCGGGTGTTCATGACATTTTCGTGCAGAGTTATACCTGCAGTTTCGTAATCTATGACCTTTCAGACAAAATTTTCAAAGAAAATGTTACAATATGAAAAGTACTTTATAGACCTACGTCCAAGGTAGAACAGAAAGCATGATATATTTAGATATAAAGTCAATTCTTCGTGTGCACGTGACGTCACACTGTTTTTCCAAATCGTAAGTCCGCCATGATAGATGATAAACAACCAAGATTGCGACACTTCACGTATGAGTTGCTGTTACGGTCCGTGATATCTTCCAGCTTTAATAGCCTCTAACAATGCCCACTTTGTGTGCAGTTTATAACTGTGGTAATAATGAAAAACATCAATGAGGAGAAAGCACAATACAACCATGTTTGTTGTGACAACTTCATATCTGGTGATTTATTGATATTTTTAATTGTTTTTTTGCGAACGCGAAATGATAACTTTTACTAATATACAATCGATATTTATATCTCAACAGGGAAACCAGCAAAGCTACGTAAAAAAAAAAAGTCCAGGTTGGGCACCAGCACTAATGTTAGGGCACAATAATGTGAAGACGAATACTAAACTTTCGTTGTCAAGAAGTAGTAGGTCAAAAGAACGATCAGCAAAGAAAGCAAAACTTGCTTTAGAAACTTCACAAGCACAAGCACAAGAACAAGAGATAGATTCGAGTGAGCACAGTAAACACTTTAAAGAGTAACCACTATGTGAATTAAATGTATGATATTCATCTCAGAATTTGTTCTTATACCTCCAAATATGCATAAGATTTAAAAAATAATAATAATTAAAAAAACGCGTTTTATATTTATAGCCCTTTGAATGAACAAATTCAGGGCCCAAAACGTCGTCTGCTACAGCTTTTAACTCAAATATTACCAGTAGCGCCACCAACCTGGGAATGACGTCATGAGTTGTGTTCATTTTCTTTGTCATCGCCGTGAATGCATGAATGAGAACCTTTTGTGTGATATATTGTATGCAAATGTCCTATTGTCCACCAAATATGGATAGAGATCCATATTATTAATAGGGTATCTGTAAAAATATATTTAATTATTTAATTTAACACACTCACTCACTGGTTTCTTCTTCAAATCTGTGTTTATGTTGCACTTTGAAATTATCATAAACATTCTGCAGAACCCAGACATCCAGACAGTTAGACATGAAACCTGGATGCTGTGTAATGCACTTAATGTTTCCCCAAAAATTGTCGTTGTACTCATCATTTTTTTTCCTGTATTGGCATCTTTTCTGTGCAACACACATTTTCCTCTGAAGTTTCACATAACTCACATCTGTCACACTTGCACCTGAAAAAATCAAAACCACAGTTAAGATGTATTTTAACATAGGAATTTGCTAACAGATCACAGGCCTAGACCCCATTTTCTTCGGTACGATCGACTTCGAAAACCTGCAAAGGAATCGCCAATCACCTCCACTAACCCCAGCTATATTAATTAAATCATGTTCATGGCCATAGCTTGCATGGCATGATGACATTTTACAGGATCAGGACCCTGACACACTGATATCTAATTAATATGGCCAGTCACACTGGAAGCATGCAGTGCACCCTGTATGCCCTGTACATAGACTGGACGTTTTGTTTACAGTGTCATGTTATCGGAAATGTTTAAAGAGTCCAGACTACCGTCAAAAGACGAACTTGAAAAGCTGTCAACACTGGATGATGAAGAACACGACATAGCCATAATAAGCAACACTGGCACTAACACAGCTCATGACGTCATCGCAACTAATTCCAAGAGATAGCGCTGCGAAGAGTATTTTAATGTGTAAATTAGCAGACGACGCATATTTCGGTAAAAAAATGCGTCAAAACTATATTTTTAGACAATTTATGTTTGCAACAAGTTGCTTTTGAAAAAGTAAAAAAATGCAAAGTTGTGCACAAGCTTAGTGGTTACTCTTATAATTCTATTCGAGTTATTTGGCAATATAAATCTGAACTAAAGCAGTATTACAAGGACAACATTGCCATCTTTCTCGCAAACAAACCACGGTTTGAGTGGAGTTTCCCTTGTTCGCTGTGAATGATTAACCCGACCATGAACAAGAATTCTGCCGTCTTTCAATTGCTTGGTCAGATGAGTGTTATCCCAGCCAGATATGAAGAAGTTGTAGGCTCCAAGACTTTTCTAGGCCTTCATTTGCACGAGATAGTTCACGATATCAGGGAATTCTAAAGACGGTAATGCTCTCAAATCTTGGTTGTAATCGAACGCTTTTAACATGTATGGATCGAGGCCACATATTTCTAGCAGTGGATTCTAAACTGGAGTAATACGCCGAAAAAGACGGAGATGTAACACTATTGCTTGAACGAGAAGCCATTTTGATTGCTTGTATATCATCCAACATGGCGGCGGTCGGCTACGTCATGGTTTTTAGTCGCATGGTTGCACACGAAGAATACCATTTACCTTAAAATTATATACCTAGAATCTACTACACTAAGGTAAAGGTTGGACTATTTATTGCTTTTCCTTCTTGAAAGATGTTATAGGACACCATGCCATCTCAATGAAAATCTTGGTTGGCAGCTGACTTGTTTATTGTAAATAGTCACTTTTTTTTTCTTAACATTACCATTACTGAACCACTTTCAAAAGAAGGTATACTGAGAAAAGGGGGAAATAAAGTCATATTATTTAGCCAATTTAAGTAGACGCACACTTATTTTAACAAATTTACTCAATATTGTTGTAATCAAGTGAAGTAAAGCAAAAATACCACTTTTCATTTTATGATAACGAGGTATTCCACATCTTCAACAGCCATCAGAATACTTTAGAGAAAAAGTTCATGTGTTTTAGGTTTACTAGGCTAACTGGTTTGTATGGCATAATTTGTGCTTTCACTGCAGAAATTTTATTTACCGTATATTACCTATGTTACAGAAATCACTTTTGTATTGATTTTTTTTTTTTTTTTTTTGAATCAAACTTCCAGTGCAGAAACTGAATTACAAGTAGAATTTCAAATAAATTTCCATCTCTGTACAGGTCGCAGTGTACTACCAAACATTTGGGTTTTCGAGTATACAAGGAACTTCTGCAGTTGACCCTGATGGATAATGGCTCAAAGAAATTCTTCATCTTGAACTACAATGTTGACCCATATAACGTAGTTGCTTCTTTGTGGGTAAACAACAGTAGGTAACACAATCACAAGCCGGAAAAAAACGCAATGTAATCACGTGAGTATGTACCTTTCCACCCCATAAATCTGCAGATTCTAAGGCTCTCTATTTTCCTCTATGCCTCAAGCTGTCTTGAACTGATTAGCAGTTCAACACAGGCTCGGCGACGCAGTGGACCTTGTTGGTTGGTTACTGGCAATGGAGATCCCGGCCGCAGTCTCCATTGATCGGTCCAAATCACTTGGTTTTCATTGCGTTTATAGAGAATGCAAGATATTGTCCAAGTTCATACCGGAACTTGTACAAGAATCATGCATGCTTTCTTTTTCATTTTCTGTTTTCTAAAGTCATCAATTGATTTTATTCCCGGACATTTGTAGAGACAGAGGTGCCATCTACATCAGTAACAGCTGCTGACATTACCTCAGGTATGTCTACAAGAAGACAATGGGTTATTCTATATTTGTTGAAATTGCCATTGCTGGGTTCTAAGTAAATTGCTTGCTGAATTCTGCTTCATGACTAATGCATTAACAGGACCTCCAACAGAACCACCGACGGGACCTCCAACAGAACCACCGACAGGAACTCCAACAGGAACTCCAACAGAACCACCGACGGCACCTCCAACAGAACCACCGACAGGAACTCCAACAGAACCACCAACAGGAACTCCAACAGAACCACCGACAGGAACTCCAACAGAACCGCCGACGGGAACTCCAACAGAACCACCGACGGGACCTCCAACAGAGCCCCCGACGGGACCTCCAACAGAACCACCGACAGGACCTCCAACAGAACCACCGACAGTAACTCCAACAGAACTACCGACAGGACCTCCAACAGAACCACCGACGGGACCTCCAACACAGCCCCCGACGGAACCTCCAACACAGCCCCCGACGGGACCTCCAACACAGCCCCCGACGGGACCTCCAACACAGCCCCCGACGGGACCTTCAACACAGCCCCCGACGGGACCTCCAACACAGCCCCCGACGGGACCTCCAACACAGCCCCCGACGGGACCTCCAACACAACCCCCGACGGAACCTCAAACACAGCCCCCGACGGGACCTCCAACACAGCCCCCGACGGGACCTTCAACACAGCCCCCGACGGGACCTCCAACACAACCCCCGACGGGACCTCCAACACAGCCCCCGACGGGACCTTCAACACAGCCCCCGACGGGACCTCCAACACAGCCCCCGACGGGACCTCCAACACAGCCCCCGACGGGACCTTCAACACAACCCCCGACGGGACCTCAAACACAGCCCCCGACGGGACCTCAAACACAGCCCCCGACGGGACCTCCAACACAACCCCCGACGGGACCTCCAACACAGCCTCCGACGGGACCTCAAACACAGCCCCCGACGGGACCTCAAACACAGCCCCCGACGGGACCTCCAACACAGCCCCCGACGGGACCTCAAACACAGCCCCCGACGGGACCTCCAACACAGCCCCCGACGGGACCTCAAACACAGCCCCCGACGGGACCTCAAACACAGCCCCCGACGGGACCTCCAACACAGCCCTCGACGGGACCTCCAACACAGCCTCCGACGGGACCTCCAACACAGCCCCCGACGGGACCTCCAACACAGCCCCCGACGGGACCTCCAACACAGCCCCCGACGGGACCTTCAACACAGCCCCCGACGGGACCTCAAACACAGCCCCCGACGGGACCTTCAACACAGCCCCCGACAGGACCTCCAACACAGCCCCCGACGGGACCTCAAACACAGCCCCCGACGGGACACCTCAAACACAGCCCCCGACGGGACCTTCAACACAGCCCCCGACAGGACCTCCAACACAGCCCCCGACGGGACCTCCAACACAGCCCCCGACGGGACCTCCAACACAGCCCCCGACGGGACCTCAAACACAGCCCCCGACGGGACCTCAAACACAGCCCCCGACGGGACCTCAAACACAGCCCCCGACGGGACCTCAAACACAGCCCCCGACGGGACCTCCAACACAGCCTCCGACGGGACCTCCAACACAGCCCCCGACGGGACCTCCAACACAGCCCCCGACGGGACCTCCAACACAGCCCCCGACGGGACCTCCAACACAACCCCCGACGGGACCTTCAACACAGCCCCCGACGGGACCTCAAACAGAAGAACCCGGAACTGGAACAGACTATGGGGAAGGACCCGGTACTGGAACTGATTATGGGGATGGACCTGGAACTGGAACAGACTATGGGGATGGACCCGGTACTGGAACTGATTATGGGGATGGACCTGGAACTGGAACAGATTATGGGGATGGACCCGGTACTGGAACTGATTATGGGGATGGACCTGGAACTGGAACAGACTATGGGGATGGACCCGGTACTGGAACTGATTATGGGGATGGACCTGGAACTGGAACAGATTATGGGGATGGAACTGGAACAGACTATGGGGATGGACCCGGTACTGGAACTGATTATGGGAATGGACCTGAAACCGGAACAGACTATGGGGATGGAACCGGCACAGGTGGCGGTGATGGAACTGGCACCGGTGGCGGTGATGGAACCGGCACAGGTGGCGGTGATGGAACCGGCACAGGTGGTGGTGATGGAACTGGCACCGGTGGCGGTGATGGAACCGGCACAGGTGGTGGTGATGGAACTGGCACAGGTGGCGGTGATGGAACCGGCACAGGTGGTGGTGATGGAACTGGCACAGGTGGCAGTGGTGGAACCGGAACAGGCGGCGGGGATGAAACAGGGCCTGGTGATGGAGTAGGGCCAGGACCGGGACCAGATGATGGCGTACTTGAGACGGATATAGACTCCATAGATCAGAGTAAGATCAATTTTAGCATCAGTTTTAGATAATGGGAAGTTTCATCAGGATGGTTATGAAATAAAGGTCAGGAAACTTGATACTTATTGATGGTGGGGGTATCAGTACATTTTGGCAATATTTTGGTACATCTTATACTACGGGTCAGCTGGACAGTGCACCAGTTTTCGCTTGCTCTGTGCATAATATCGTGCAATCCTCAGCAAGCGTCCATGGTTTGATTCTTAAAAAGTTTTATGGATATATTTAGAGAACCAGGATAGTTATAAAGTTACTAACACATCTCGACTTTATCATTCATACCATTTATTCATACTTTGTAGTATACCATTATAGAAGATATACAGCTTACTAGAAAGATTTAGAGAAGTAAGATTTCCAAATTGGGTAGTTTATCTCTATCTTAACCCAATCGCCCCATATGGCAATGGCAATGCCATACCCACTGTAATACAAGTGTATTTGCTGTATTTACACGTAGATGGCTCTACAAGTGCTTACTCACCAAGGAGTCAGCTATTAGTCCTACCTATCTCACCTGCTTATCCTCGGCTTTTAGAAGGGATCTTTTGCATTATTTCATTGTCTTAAATGTTATCGAGATTTTAATAACAATGTAATAATCATGACATCAATAACAACAATAACAGTATAGATATCTGCTGTATTAATAAGAAAACATTTTCCCGCCAAATTAAGGAATGGGGAAGTCAGGATCGGTTACAAGGGCTACTGATAGACTCCTTGCCGGCTGAGCACATATGGAGCCCTCTGTATGTAAAAACATTCACTAAAAATGCAGGGACAGAACATAAATCTGGGACGGTTAGGTTAATTTCATTCATAATGTGCTGAATGCACAGTCTTCCTTCCTTTCTGTCTGATAGACTTTCCTCGGCAGAGTTCATTGAGAGTAGGAATAACTGAGTGAGCATACAACCGCCAGTGATTATCTGGTTTACTTTTTTTTTATTAGTCGGGTACCCAGTAGATTTCTTTCGTAAGTAAGGATATTTCAAACACCATCGCGATATATCCACCACTGTACTTAATCACTCACACTGTCATAGCATTTACACAAAGACGACTGTTGCTAAACTAGTGCGAAAAACAGAGTCTTACAGTTAAGGGGGATGTAAGAGTATAGAGGGGAGGCATACGACTTTGAGAATACCATGGAGCATCGCGCGATATCAGTATGGGCTCAGTGCAACCCCACATCCCTTTAGTTTTGTTAGTGTCGAAAGTGCTAGCATATTATGTTAATTCTATATAATACATTTATTCGTGTAGATCACTGTCAGTATATAATCTGTATCAAATATTCCTCTAACTTTATAGTTTTAGATGTATTTAATATTGAGAATCGGTACAAATATGCTGTATCCACACATTCATCAACAATTACATATACTTAAACATACACACACAAAGACACACACACTAATACATACGCAAATGCACGCACGAACGCATACACACATATGAAAATGGGAGAGGGGGGGGGAGAAGAAGAGAAAGAAAAGGAAGGGGGAAGGAGGGGGAAAGAGGAGGAGATATAATGAGTGTTAAGGTGGAGGTTGAGAGGAAGAATAGAAAAGGGGGGGGGGAGAAAAGAAAGAAAAGGAAGGAGAGAAAGAAAAAGAAAATGGAGAAGGAAAACAATAAAGAGGAAGAGAAAAGGAAACTAAACACAGTATACGACAAAACAAAAAATATTGATAGTTCAGGACCGAGAACGGGTTAGGGGGGAGAAGAGGAGAGGACACCAGGTGCTATAATCAGAACACCGAGCAAGGCACGTGATCCAAAAACAGCATATCATCTCTAGAGAGAAAGAGAGAGAGAGAGGGGAAAGAGAGATACAGATAGATAGAGATAGACAGATATAGATGGAAAGATAAATAGAGAGAGACAGATTGAGAAACAAAGAGAAGGAACCATAGGAAAAGAGAGATAAAAAGACATATGGGAGAACATATACTCTTTTTTTATATACGTCTGGACCGATTTTCAAAAATTACCTTGAAATCTAAATCTTCAGGTTAGGATTTGATTTGTGAGTAACGAAAAAGTGTCAGTCGTTAAGAGGAAAAAATCGAATTAAATATTATAAAAACGAGCTAAGAGGTTTTAAGTTGGCAGTGCATGACATTCTGGATCGTGTTATTATATTTCACAAGTTCAAAGGGCAACTTTACAATGAAAACCATGTGACCAATACTGTCAATCAAAAGAAAAGAAAATTAGTTTCTGTTTCAGATTAAACAAAATAGATAAATACCCTAACCTATTATAGTTCAGACGATAAATCTGTATCACCTAAACTGAGTAATATGACTATCATAGCAAAATGCCCATTAATTAAATGCCAGTCAAAAGAATGGGACTACACTTGGAATAAAAGTCAAGTAACTGTGTGGTTGCTAGCCACAGAGGACTGAGAAATGCACAGAGGTTTAACCAAATCCCCATTCCTTTCCTTCAGTATTCTTCATGTCCGTCATCGTTACGATCCTTCCCGACGAAACGACGACCATCTCGATCAACCAGGCATTGATGGCTCAAATGATAGCGGAGAAAAAGACTGTTTACTTTATTACC